GGGACACAGCTGCCAGAGCCATCCCAGCCAGCACCGCTAATCCGGCCTCTCCCTAGCAGATTATTTTTAATCCTCCTTTCTGCCCAGACCAAACTTGGCTTAGCTCTTGGGGGAGGGAAGAGCAAACCAGTGGCAGATCTTCTTTTGAACTCGCTTTTTGTTTCGCCTTTTCGAAAACATTTGCACGTGAAAATAAAACCAATAACAATAATCCCACGTAGTTCTGCCAGCAAAACGGCAGGAAGGAGGCAGAGCTGCTAGGTTTGCCCGGAGCCTGGGCGGGGGAGGGTCAAGAGGACAAGCCCTAGCAAGAAGAAAGGAAAATAAGCACCCTAAAAGGGTTAGTCCAGTGGGTCTCCTTGTAGATTTATAGGGGCTCAACGGATCTCTCTGTACGTGATGACAGCTTCCCCTGGGCGGGAGAGCTGGCTCCGGTCTGCGCTGGCTGGCACACCCGGTCCTGCCCCGGGACAGGGGCCGGTGCTGTCGTGCGGAGCGGCGGCGGGTGACGGCTCTCGCCTCCCCTCTCCCCGCAGGTTTGGTTCCAGAACCGCAGGATGAAGGACAAGCGGCAGCGCCTGGCCATGACCTGGCCCCACCCGGCCGACCCGGCCTTTTATACCTACATGATGAGCCACGCGGCGGCCACCGGCAATTTGCCCTACCCGTTCCCGTCCCACCTGCCGCTGCCCTACTACTCCCACACGGGCATCGGAGCCACATCGGCCTCTGCCGCCACTCCCTTCAGTACTCCCCTGAGGCCGCTGGACACCTTCAGGGTCCTTTCACACCCCTACCCGAGACCAGAACTGCTGTGCGCCTTCAGGCATCCCTCTCTCTACCCCGCCCCATCCCATGGACTCAGCAGCTCGGGGGGCAACCCCTGCTCCTGCTTGGCTTGCCACAGCGGCCAGTCCAACGGCCTGGCGCAGAGACCCTCCGGATCAGACTTTACCTGTTCTGCCACAACCAGGACTGACTCTTTCCTCACTTTCACGCCCTCTGTGCTGAGCAAAGCCACCTCAGTTTCCATGGACCAGCGAGAAGAAGTACCTTTAACGAGATAAACCTTTGTCTCAGGGTTATTAAAAACTCGTCCCTTTCGCGGGCTTCACTTCGAGTTAATGTACCTACAGCCGATGTTTATTTAATCGTGTTCTTTCCCCGGAAGTGGACACCTACGGAAAAAAAGACTAAAAATAGCTCACTCTCAAAAGGATTTACATTTCAAGGGAGAAAAAAAAGAAAAAAAAAAAAAAGAAGAAGGAAAGAAATGAGTAATGATTTATCTCTGAGAAGGATTTTGGGCATAGAACCGAAAGAAAGAACCCAAACGAAATACACTCCGGTAAAGTATAGAAATTAGCTGGCAATTTCTATTCCATGGATAGACTTCTTACCAAGGGGTGGGGCTTTTGGGGGCCACAGCAACAAACCTTGTGCCCAAACCTACGAGATGGCGAAAGAAAATCTGAAATACTTGAAAGAAACATTATCTTGATAACGAAATAGCTTGTGCGCATGAAGAAAGCAAAGACGTAATCTACCAGATTGTTCAGAGAATAAAAGCAACGAGCAAGCAGCAAAAACAAAAGGTTTCTGGATTGCAACTCAACAGTATCATCCAGTTGTCTCTATAGAGAAAAACAATGCTTTACCCTAAAGAAAAACTGTCACCCTGTACTTCACTGTCGTGGTTTAATGGCATACTTTACTCTCCCTTTTCTCCTTCGTTTTGAGCAGAAATCCAGCATTTCACTTCCTTTTTAATTCCAACTTTTGTTTTTAACAGGCAGCCTGAAATTGGCAGGGAAAAAATACGAGCTCCTTCCTCTTTGTGGGTCAGAGCTATTTGTCCTTTAAATAACAATGTCCTATTATCAGTCGCTGAAATGTGCACACACTGATGAAATTAGCAAGTGATGTATATGTAAAGAGGGTTTTTGAATATCGAATGTATAATGCTCTATGAGCAGAGACCCCGTGCCAAACGCTAACAAGCCGCCAAGGGAAGAGATTAGGTGACAGGGAGCACAACTCCTTCAGACAATCACCAGTCTGTAAATTGGAGCAAAGGCGATTTCCCTTCCTTTGTACTTCAGCCTTCAGTTCTCTCATTGACTTTCCTTCGCTGCTTCTTCTGTCTTTTTTTTTTTTCTTTTTTTTTTTTCTTTTTTTTTTTTCTTTTTTTTTTTTCTTTTTTTTTTTTCTTTTTTTTTTTTCTTTTTTTTTTTTCTTTTTTTTTTTTCTTTTTTTTTTTTCTTTTTTTTTTTTCTTTTTTTTTTTTCTTTTTTTTTTTTCTTTTTTTTTTTTCTTTTTTTTTTTTCTTTTTTTTTTTTCTTTTTTTTTTTTCTTTTTTTTTTTTCTTTTTTTTTTTTCTTTTTTTTTTTTCTTTTTTTTTTTTCTTTTTTTTTTTTCTTTTTTTTTTTTCTTTTTTTTTTTTCTTTTTTTTTTTTCTTTTTTTTTTTTCTTTTTTTTTTTTCTTTTTTTTTTTTCTTTTTTTTTTTTCTTTTTTTTTTTTCTTTTTTTTTTTTCTTTTTTTTTTTTCTTTGTTTTTTTTTTCCTTTTTTGTTTTTTTTTTTTTTCCTTTTTTGATTGTTTAATTCCCTCTTTGGGTTTTGTGTCTTCTTCCCCACCCCTAGCCTTTGCATTTGTATGTGTCCTTCACATTGGTCCCTCTTATTTCTGCAGTATTTTTTCCACAAGACTCCCCCACCCCCCGTCTCCTCTTTCAGGTATTTCGAAAGGAGGTGACATCATTGCTTTTGCTTGGATTTCTGTCAACCTAAAATTTAAAAAACACGGACACAGGGCTGGGTAGTAGTTTTGGTTTTTTTGGTTTTTGTTTTGTTTTGTTTTTTTTCCCCATAACAGGAATTGTTTGTTTCATTCTGTTTTAAAATAACCCAAAGAACACACTGCCATAATTTGTTACCCTTTCGGAATAAAACTTAACAGCAACAACAATAACATACCAACAACGTAAAAACAACAGACACATTTTAACAATATATCTCCCATGTTTTTATTGTGCTTGTTTAAAAAAAAAAAAAAAAAAAAAGTAAAAGTGTTGCTTAAGACAAATTCACCTTCCTGCATTTTCTGGTAGTTGCAGTTCAACCAACAGGAAAATAAATGCTGGACAGAACGAAGACGTGTTGACACCTCCGCTATCTACTTTGTGTTGAATTGCTGAGAAGCCCCTGCCTTATTGTCACGTCGGAGACTTTTTGTCCTTAGGACAGGGAGTGAATAGTAGTGTTTCCCTATAGCTTACGGAGAGCAGGGAAGACTCACGGGCGTGCCAGGATATATTTTTCCAATTAAAAAAACAGGAAAAAAAAAAAAAAAGAAAAAAAAAAAAGGTTTATTAGAGCTTTTAAAAACCTGATCCAAAGTCACCATCTTTAAATCATTAAGGGCAGACTGTTCCGTCCTTTTTGAATGAGATGTCCTCATGGACATGGGAACCGATGGCCCTTTCTGGACACTCACAAACAGATTCTCCCCCCTCCCCCCCCGGATATAACAATTGTAAACAGCGTCCTAGGGCAGCGCCGAATAACGTCCGAGCTTTGCAAGCCTTTCCCCTCCTTACTTTGTCTTTTAGCAGACAGGAGAAGGACCAGCCCGACAAAAAGGGAGCGGTGGAGCGAGTGCCTAAGACAACCATCCCCGGGGACACCGGGGGAATGGAGAGGCCGGGGAGGCAGCTGGGTGCTGCCCAGCAAAATGTGGGGGTCCTAGAGGGCCCTCGACCTCCCTCCTTCCCCGGCCAGACGGAGACACCTGCTGGGCCGCGCTCGCAGGGCGGGATCCGGCCAGGGATGCTGCTGCTCAAAGCGTGAGGAGCCACCGCGGCGCCAGTTCGCTCCTGCAAAACTCCTAGTTCACAAAACGCCATCGGCTACGGTGCAGCGCAATAGATCTCTATTCCCCCCCCCCCCCCCACAAACACATTTTTTAAAACCTTACTTCAGAGAGAGAAAGAGAATATTTAACCCGCCGTGTACCATTTCCACCCGCAAAGGGGACATCCCGCCTCAAAGAGCGGGGAGCAGGGAGGCAGAGGCAAGGGAGCGTGGGACGTGGCTCTCCCGCAGCCAGCACGGTCTGTCCCGCAGCTCCGGGCGGCGGGTGGCGTCCCAGCCGCTCGTTCGTGGGGGATGCTGCGGCAAATAGTGGCTGTGAATTTCTCCGTGGCTCGGTCACAGGGCAGAGATTGCCTCCGACAGGTAAATAGGCTGTGGGTCGCAATAACGCCAAGAGTATTTTCAGTTAATAGGGGAGGGAAAATGAGGTGTCTGGAGCGATATTGGAAAGTACAAGATCGATGATCCGTCCTCGTGTCCAATCAGCAGCCTTTAATTGACTGTATTTTCTAGGTAATTGAGCCGCTGTGCTCCTAAATTGAAGTGGAAGATATAACAATACATCTTACTGGGAGGAATTACTCATTACTTCATAATGAAATTTTCCTTTTGCTGCGTGAGGCCGGTGCCATTAACGCCTTGGCCGCCGGTGGGAGTGCCCGCGGCCCCACTCAGGACGCTGGCTCCGGTCACGCGTGGGGCATGCCTGGCAGCATGCATGCAGCAGGCTCTGCCTCTGGCCCCCAAGCCCCTGCCATCAGGCGGGCAGGTCTCCCTCGCCTCGGCCCGGCAGGGGGGCAGACCCTTGGAGGAATGAAGGTTGAAGCCCGGGCCGGGACCCCGCAGGGAGCTGCCCCGGCGGGTGCAGTCCTGAAAGCACTGCCCCCGGAGACCCGACGGTGCCACCAAGCTCCCTTGTCACCAGCGGGAGCGGAGCTGTCTTCGGGGTACCCCGTGTGCCGCATCGGCTCCGCTTCCCAGCCAGCCCAATTCAGCTCCGAAAGGCCTTCCCCGCCTTGTTAGCGTTTGATTGATTGCCTTATTAAAGCGTGTTCTTGTAAGTGTGACCGAGCTGATTGCACTGCATATGTTTGGGATAATGCGCATTTTAAACAACTGAATAATAATAATACTAATAAAAAAAGAGACCAGAACAGGAAGAAGATGGGCTCTAGAGAATGGGTTAAGCCTAAACGATCCCGGGGAGCAGTGCTGTAACTCGCGCATTAAATTGCTCCGTTACTACCAAATCACTCAGCTCTTTTCGGCTGTACTCAGACCACCTTTGTTGTGTTTTATCTGTCACCTCCTGTACCATTCAGTGAGATAGCACCGAGACTGCCGCTTACTTTCCCGTCTCAGGCTATATGTTTTTATTAAAGTTGTATTATTACACTGGATCGGATCTGCTTTCCCAGGACTATTCTTTACTCCAGCGCCCAAATCATTAGAAAGTCGTCTCTCCATATTTCCCATTTTCTGCTCAGTTTTTAAGTCGTTTGATGACACCTGCAGAAAAGCATGAGGGTCCTTTAGCTCTTGGCTTGTACATCTGAAGGATCCTTTTGTTTTCTATTATTCTCCTGCTCGCCTGGCCACGGTATTTTACTACTGAGTTTAGCCCATGAAAACACCCTCCACCATATGTCAACGCAAAGCCCTCTGTCCTGACTCTTACAATGGTGTCACCCCGGGGTAAAGCCAACCTGAGGATAAGCCGGAGTCTCGTTGGCACAAATGGCTTCATTTGGGCGCATCAGGTTCCTGGGTGGGTGTCTAGGGGTTGGGAAACCAGTCCCACGTCCTTTTGCTGCATCCTTCACCCCAGAGCCCCTCATTTGTTGCCTGCTCCCATTAGATCTTCTCGCTGCCCCTTTTGTAAAGCGAGAGGGTCCGGTCCCCCACCCGCACCAGCGGGTGGACTGATCGCTGTGCGGGTCTGAAGTGCTGGTATCAGCGAGGGGCTGCCGTTCAGGGTAGATCCTTCCCGAATTGGTCCCTGTCTTTGGAAAGTTCTTCTTCTGTTGTCTTTTACTTAGGGAGATGATGAGATCGCTAGTTCAGTATCTTCAAACAAGAGGACAAGTCACAACCTCTGCCCCCCAATTTACCCTTTGCTTTTTTGTTTTGTTTTGTTTTGTTTTTATCAGTTAGACTGATAGTTAAACTACGACCAAGAACGTAGCGCAGGTTTA